CGTCGGCAGCCCGGCCTGGGCGCCCCTCGCTCCGGGGCAGGGCTGCGGAGCCGACCTCCCCCGAGGCGCCCGGTTGGGCTGACGTGGTGTCTCTTTTCTCTGCAGGTGAAAATGGAGTTCAGGCTCGGGAAGGTCAGCGGGGGTGTGTGTTTGTGATGGTCGAGCAGTCTGTGCCCTCTTAGGAAGCAAATTCATCTCCAGGAGCTGTAGAGCAATGTAAGTTTGACGGATTAATTTATATTTTTTTAGGCTCCGAGGGAATATTTGAAATCCACCCTCCTCCTTTGTCCTTTCTTTACTAATTTGTCTCAAGGCCCTTCGTCCACTCTTTATCTTTGGCTCTTCAGCTGCTAAAAGTTTTTTTTTGTTCTTTAGCTTGTCACTTTTTCAGTCTCTTTCAGTGCCTGCACCAGCAATGTTGTTTTTCAGCCTCATCCCATTTAGGCAGTTTTGAGTGTGGTGTTTCTAACGTTGATTTGAGGCAAAATATTTACTACACACATCAAAATAGGGCATGATTATGTCAGACTTCAAAAGCGTGAATGCCTGTTTGACGTGTCCTTAAACGCTTGTTCTTTTTTGCTACACAGCGGTAGTCGGAGGCAGGGTCTGCCATAAGCGTGTGTGAAGGGAGGGCGTTGTGAACCACCCTGAATGTAAGTGACAGGCTGGCCATGGTACTGCTGTGGTACTTAAATTTCATTCTGGGATAGCTGCTTTGTATTGTTTAACTGTTTGGAATATTGAGTTAATCCTGCGTTGGAGCTAACCATAAGTAACTAATTTAACCATTAATATTTAACCATTATAATAGTAACCCTATTATTTGTTTCAGCAACTTTTAGTGCTGTATGCTTTTTGGCATATTGCACTATATTTCTGTGTTTAAAATGCTCTCTGTGCAATTACAGTGGGATATAAACAATGTTTTGAGGTCAGTATACCTTTTTATAAGAATTGACTATATGTCCTTTTTACTTAGCAGCCGCAATGTCAAATAAGGAGGTGAAGGCAGCATTAAAGAGTGCTAGGGATGCAATACGAAATAAAGAATATAAGGAAGCCTTGAAACACTGCAAGGTAGTTAATTTTTTACTTGGAAGTTAATATTTTTTGCTTGTTTTGTTTGCTGCTCCTATACCCCTACAGCTGTATAGTAATGCAGAGTGTGGAGTATCTTATTGATGTAATAGCTGAGATTGATTATCAGATTTAACTTCATTGGTGTTCATGTTAATTGCCCACAGGTAAACCTTTATTCCCCTTCCCTTTTGCATTTGCTTATGTGTGGCAATAAGAATATTAAGTCTAGAACGATAGTGATAAAATCGATTTCTAATGCAGATCTCGACAGGAGTGCTTTAATTGCTGAGCTACAGATATGGTTACTGGCAGAATAGTTCAGATATAAAGCATTCTCTGGCATAAAACGCTGAAGTTATTAATCTTAGCCTTTTCCTAAATATGAGTTAACTTCTAATATTACCATACAGAATAATTCACCAAACTGTAATGATAAAACTCATGGATCTATAAAATGGATTTCATTCGTCAGTTTCACTTAAAATTGTGTATTTCTAGGCGGTCTTGAAGCAAGAAAAAAATAACTACAATGCTTGGGTATTTATTGGCCTGGCAGCTGCTGAGTTAGAGCAGCCTGATCAGGCCAAAGGAGCGTATAAGAAGGCTATTGAACTTGAACCAAACCAGTTACTGGCGTGGCAGGTACGTGAATGTCCAGATTCGCTTCTTCTTTCTCTGAAAAGTGTCACTATGGAGTTAAATATGGGAACAAAGCAGAGTTGAGACTTGCATCATGTTTTCTTGAGGCCCTTAGTTTTACTGAAGCTTCTGAGTAGCTGAGGTTCGTATTATTTGTGTGTCCAAAGTAATGCGCTGGGTGGCTGCCTGTGTATAGCACAGGGAACTTTAGTGCCAGTATATTTAAGTTTGTACTTCTTGTGTAGGCTAGATAGCAGTGAAACATGCAAGGGAGAACATGAATTGAAACAGATACAAATTTGTCCAATTTCCATGCTTGTAGCTCAAGAAACATTTGACAATGTTTCTCATAGGAGAAAAAATGTTTTATCTAGTAACTTATTTTTGCAGCTTCTAGCATCAAGTGGATTGTTACTGAATCTTTTTTTATGTTACTTGAAAACAATAGTATACATTTAAAATGCCTGTGTGCTGGGTGGTGTGTGCATCACAATCTATAACAATATATAGTTAAAACATACAGTTGTGTTATTTGGAGACCTGTGAAGTATAGGGTTGCATATTAGGTCTGTCTCTCAGATACCAACAATCGATATTTTTCTAAGCTAGTAAGGTTATGAGTATTTTCATATATAAATAGCTTTTTAAAGTATCACTGTTGGTGCCTGATTTCAAGTTATATTGAAATTTCCTCCGTTTTGCAATCAGATTCTGGCTTTCAGTATGATACTTGGATATAGATTTTTTTATCATATCATGTAGTGTGCAGACAAGATTATGTAATATATACAGGTTTCAAGTAGTCGTTGGTATTGGTTAAGTGTCATGGTTTAACCCCAGCCGGCAGCTCAGCCCCACCCAGCTGCTCGCTCACTCACCCCCAGGTGGGATGGGGGAGAGAGTCAGAAGAGTAAAAGTGAGAAAACTCGTGGGTTGAGATAAAGACAGTTTAACAGGTAAAGCAAAAGCCGCGCACAAGCAAAGCAAAACAAGGAATCCATTCACCACTTCCCATCGGCAGGCAGGTGTTCAGCCATCTCCAGGAAAGCAGGGCTCCATCACGCGTAGCAGTTACTTGGGAAGACAAACGCCATCGCTCCGAATGTCCCCCCCTTCCTTCTTCTCCCCTAGCTTTTATTGCTGAGCATGACGTCATATGGTATGGGATATCCCTTTGGTCAGTTGGGGTCAGCTGTCCCGGCTGTGTCCCCTCCCAGCTCCTTGTGCCCCCCCAGCCTCTC